AGATCGAGACCATCCTGGTCCACAAGGTGAAACCCCGTCTCTACTAAAAATACAGAAAGTTAGCTGGGCATGGTGGTGCGTGCCTGTAATCCCAGCTACTTAGGAGGCTGAGGCAGGAGAATTGCCTGAGCCCAGGAGGCGGAGGTTGTGGTGAGCCGAGATCGCGCCATTGCACTCCAGCCTGGGTAACAAGAGCGAAACTCCGTCTCAAAAAAAAAAAAAAAAAAAACTTAGTTCTGTTTTACATGTCATGAATCATTAAAAAGATTATCCTAGTTCAAGAAGTTTCTCAAATGATTTCTAAAATGACACTACTCTTACCTGGGAAAGAGGGAAGATATACATAAATGAATCTGCTTTTGAAGAATTTAGATGCATTTTCTATTTTTTTTTTTAAAGTCTACAACAAAATATTTAGGGGCAAAGATTTTTCAAGGTTGTTAATTCATCAGAAACAATTTCAAGAAGTATTCTTGAGATCACTGAGAACAGACATAAACTTTTAGGGAGGCAGTGCATCCTTGGCAAACAACACACACAAATATGACTCCAGATAATTATCCTGACAACATCTTATAATGAACAGTACTTTATAACAGGGTCAAAGTCAGCAAAACACCCTGCTGGATGAACAAACATGATGAAGGCTGAATTTACTTAAGGAACTGTAGAACCACCCTTGTTCTCAGCCTTAGTGAAGGGACAGGGTCGTTATTTACTTAAGTCAAAAACCATGGCAAGTTTGCAGAAGATCTAGAAATAGGTTAAAATATTAAGCTATGAAGCAGAGAACATGGGGGTCTCTCTGTAAAAGCCTCTCACAAATGCTGTACAAGAAGTAAATCTGTAAACAGATGAGGTGAGAACACTGATCTCAAATGTAAAAAGAAGGCAATAACATTACCTTGTTATTCATGTGATATTGAACCGAACAGTTCTAGAGACTGCAAAGAGTTAGTGTTTTCATGTCAGCATCGTGATTAATTTGATAAACAGACTGTTTCCTCCCTTTTGTGAAAACAATTTCAAAGAACAAAGAAACTAGGAAGACAGTAAGTTTTTTATGGAAAGGAGATTGAAATACAGGAGAGTGAAAAAAAGGAAGTATTACTTAATGTATTGCAATCAACTTCTTTGCCAGTCTATTTTATTTCTCCTTATTCCTTTGAAAAAAATAAAGTCAGACTGAAGGAAAGAGCACTTTTTGCTTGCTGAAAAGGATGGATCATGACATCACTACAGGCAAGACAAATCAAATAATCTTTAATGGAAGTAGAAAACACGGGAAGAAAAGCTATAAGAAGGCAGAATCTGGCTATTTCTAAATAATCATTTGGTAAATCTAAAAAATATTTTTATATTCCTAAATTATTTGAAAGGTCTTAGACTTAAAATTAGGAATAACTTTAATATAGCTTTGATCTTATCAAATATTTCAACTTTTGTGACTTTTTAATGCTCAAAGAGATATTTTCTAAATTGCTCAAAGAAAATAAAATTACAACGTATATTACTATAAGCACAAATTACTCAATTTTAACAAAGCATACTTAAGGCACTAAGACATTAAGGCAGTATTTTCATATTCTGTGTAACTTGGCTTATTCTCAAAGCATTTAAAATTGTTGAAACTCTGTTTCATTTAAACTTTAAATGAAAATTTAAATTTCGTTTAAACTCCTATCATTTAAAATTGCTGAAACTGTTATATAATTTTAACTGCATTTCATGTTTTTATACGTATAAGTATTAGCGATAACATGAAATTATTTTTTCAGTTAATCCAAAGCAGAAATAGTAAGAACTGTTTGCAGAGGAAATCCTCAATGGAGTCTTAAATAGTGTAACAGGCTGCCCTCTAGTGTCATTTTAGCTATAAAACTTTGAAAATAGAAAACATCTTATTTTCAAATACTACTCAAACTAATTTAGATTCAAAGTATTTCAAACTAATGTAAGAAAGCAATCATCTTATATGCTACAAAAAAATCTTAAAATATCTGAAAAAGGTTGGAGCTAGGGATCATTAACCATTCATAAAAGTAAATAGTGGCAGAGGATTTAAGATGTCACAGCTCCCTGCAACACCTTTTAGTTTCCAAAACAAACACTTTAAGACATTTTTGTTTTTGAGACAGAGTCTTGCTCTGTCATCCAGGATGGAATGCAGTGGTACAATTATAGCTCATGGTGGCCTCGAATTCCTGGGCTAAAGGAATCCTCCCACCTCAGCCTCCCAAGTAGCTGGGACTACATGTGTCTGCCACCACACCCGGGTAATTTTTTAAATTTTTTTTGTAGAGACAGGGTCTCATTATGTTGCCCAGGCTAGTCTAAACTCCTGACCTCAAGCTGCCCTCCCACCTCGGCCTCCCAAAGTTCTGGGATGACAGGTGTGTACCACCGTGCTGGTCTAGAAAAGACTCTTCTGATGCTATTTTATGTGCCCTGTTCCCCCATGTAACAGGAGTTACACAGAAATGAACTGAGTGCAGCACAGTTTTAGATGTCTGTATAATATAATGAGATGGATCTTCAAATAAGTGTCCCCAAAGAGAGACCCTTGGGATCACTGGCAAATCACCACTGTTACTTAGTATACCTCATATCTGTACTAACCAATGCCCAAAGAAGGAACCACTCCAAGAGGAAGATAGTCATTAGCTTATCTATCATTTTAATGTTTTACCACACTGTGCCAACAGCCACTGAGAACATGACATGTCTTTGAAAGCCATCCACATAAAGATGGCTAGAGCATGAACTTGCCCCATATTGTTGATCAAAGAATAACTAAAAAGTAATGTAGCTCATAATGTAGATGTGAAAAGCCTTATATAGTATTAGCTATTCTCTTTCTTTACTTGAGACAGGGTCTCATTTCATTGCCCAGGCTGGAGTGCAGTGGCGTAATCATGGCTCACCGCAGTCTTGACTTCTCAAGGGTCAAGTGATTCTTCAACCTCTCAGCCTCTGGAGTAGCTGGGATCACAGACATGTGCCACCATGTCTGCCTAATTTTTTGTTATTTTTTATAAAGATAAGGTCTTAATATTTTGCCCAGGCTGGTCTTGAACTCCTGGCCTCTAGCGATCCTCTTACCTTGGCCTCCCAAAGTGCTGAGATTACAGGCATCAGGCATCATACCCAGCAATATTAGTAATTTTATGTCACGTGTTCTACTTGACTTTATCTAAATGTTCATGTGTCTATTCACTTTATGTAGTTCCAAATAAAGATGTATATTTAGTAATGTTATTTTAGATTGTCTTCTGAAAATGGTCTTCTGAAAATGAACTAAAATGCCATGGTATTATGAAGCTCCTAATAGTGATAAAGGAAAATAGTTTATTGTGGTTAGGCTTTGTTAGTATTAATGTGCCATGCTTTTAGAATACATTTAAAAAGGTTTGTTAGTAATAAGGCCTTCTTAAAACTTCTCCTAAAGGAATAAAACATGTACTAGAAATACCTTAAAGCAAATGACTAAATTCCTGTAACTATCATGCCATTTGATTAACTTGTGATTAATAAAATATGTAGCATTAATCCACTGTTATCCTGGAAGGCAAGTAAATTACAGAATAGAACATATAACAATGACAGGAGCTGAATTTTAAAAATCATTTTACTCCATGTAACCTTGCAAAACAAGAATTCTCAATCCCTTCATAACGTGATCATCATAATCATTAAATTATTCCAATTTACACTAGGAGGAATTTCTATCAAAATGGATTAAGTCTTATTTTTAAAACGACTATATGTGTTACTAAATATTAAGTATATGCTCATTTACGACTTTAAAAAAGCATCTCCCATGGCTTTAGTCTTTTTAAAAAAAACATGTAATTGTGCACATTGATCACTAACTTTTAACTCAATTGCTATGGCTAAATTATTTTATTAATTATATATTTTATATACTATGGAACAGTCACCATAGTTCAATGAAGTCTCACAAATTATTGTCTATTTTAGAATTTTCCCAGAATGTAATGTATTTAGAAAAGTGATGCAAGTCAGAAATGTAACCTGGACATCTCTGCTAAGAACTAAATAAAAATGTTGCAAAGAGTGACTATATACAGAATAGAGACACACTGGCATAACTATACAAAGAAAGAAAACTGTAAAAGCCAAACTTCCTTTTAACCTCTAGAACAATAAAGCATGAAGCTTCATGTAAGCTTAACACCTTCACCTTACTATTCTCAGTTTTGGTAGAGAAGAAAAAGAAGAAAACTGATTATCTGCTTCGGTCTACTATGAGCCAGGTACTATGCTAGCTATTATTTTAACATCTTCCAATCTTTGTGGTAAAAGATGCTGAGCTCTCAACAATCCCCTTTGCCTGAGGGGGAAGCACACTTAGAGAAGTCAGGCAGTTGCACACAGCTCACAAGCTAGTCAATGTTGGGTCGGGCTGTCTGATCTTCCCAGAGGGCACAATGATCCCTAAGAGTTTTTCCACTCTCAGGGATCAGAGTCTTGTTTACTACCAGTAACTAAGGCTCCACAGACCATTATAACAATGATTCTCAAATGAAATGGAGGAGGAACCCTTGTAGTAAGAGCTCCTGAGGAGACTCCTTTACCACTCCAGCCTAGAACCCTGTCCTTTCTACAGATGATGCCTAAGAGGACCACAGCCTTTGCGGAAATAAAAGCGTAGGTGAGTTAGGAACATGGTAAGTAGGTCTTTGACTCTGAGTCACAGGTCCTTTCTACACTGCTACACAGCCTCTAGCATTAACATTATTTTACTGGCTACAGCAAAGTTTTGGTTCAAAACAATTCTGGAAAAAAAAAGCATATAAAAAGTATAATATTATATAAACATACTATATAATATCCATCAAAAAGATAAACAATATTTTATGCATGAAGGGCCAAAGTGGGTATGAAACTGTATAAATTATCCTTACTCTACAACCATCACAAGTATTAAAAATAATGAAATACTATACATTTACAATAGTTAATTATTTTAAACTTACCTTAAGCCATAGCAAGGCAAAGTGAGGAGCCTGAATAGTGCCAGGAAAACTCTTAAAGGAAGCAGGGTGAACACATACAAAAACGCATCCAGGCACAGAAAGATTCCAAAAACCATCAGCTGAATTTTAACAAGGAGAGAAGAAAAAAAAAGTATTTTAAAAATACTTGTAGATGAAAATTTTGAAAAATCAGAATTTCTAAACATTATAAAAACTTAAGTTCTTAAAACTTAGCCCTGGGAATAACAAATTAATAGTTCTACTCTTCAAAGAGTGAGTCTGTACTTTACAGAGCCTTTGGTTTACCACTCACAGAAGAAATTACTCAAAAACAAGTTGCTCTGGACCATAGTTAACGGCACATCATCTGATGTGGCTTTCTGAGTACTTCCTCAAGCTCTAAAGATATTATAGAAAATCTTTATTTTTCATAATTTTGCTATTCCTATTTAGAGTGCTTCATTGATGGGAGAGAGTGGAATATATATTGGGTTACAATACTGTTTATGTTAAAAATATGCAAATTAATCACTAACTTTAACACAATTTCATATGCACTGAAACTTGCTGCACTCAGAAGGCATTATTCTTAATCCCAGGACCAGCCTCTTAGTGTTTATTATTTTTCCTTCTTTCTTGAGTACTTGCCATATCCTTTCTTTCTGTGGTAACATTACACACTCTTACTTAAGTTTAGGACTATATTTCACAGAAGGAGGGTGAAGTCTTTTGATGACTGGTCAAGTAGCCACCCCAAGGTTAACAAACGCAGCTATTCATTTTAAGAGTGGTGAGTTTCTGTATGTCTGACACATAAATACGGTATGATACATATGCCCTCACCACAGCACTCCATGTATCTTTAATCAACAAAGTACCCTACCACCACAGATTAGTTAAAATTCACACCGTTACAGGCTGAACTGTGTACCCTATCCAGTTCCTATGTTGATACCTCAGAATACAACCGTGCTGAGACAGTGCCTTTAAAGAGGTAATTTAAGTTTAAAAAGAAAAAAAGGTCATTTAGGGTGGGCCCTAATCCAATATACTGGAGTCTTTATAAAAGAGGAAATTTGGACACAAGCATAGACAGAGGAAAGATGATATGAAGACTGAGGGAGAAGGCGGCCATCTGAAAGCCAAGAAGAAGCCTCAGAAGAAAACTACCCCACTGACACTTGATCGCAGACTTCCAACTTCCAGAACTGCAAGATAATAAATATCTGTTGTTTAAACCACCCGGTTTATGGTACTTTGTCATGGCAGCCCTAGTCAACTAATACACACATCTTTAAATGAAAGAATACATTTTTATTAATTTTGGATAAAAATATCTTAAAAATATGCTATACATTATATGCCACATTTTAAAATCTGTATAGCCCCTTTTTTGTTTTCATCACTTTAGACTTATTATAAACAGCAATAAAATTATGATGCTAAACTACTACATGTTGTATATTAGCGCAGAGTCCCAATGTTGAATGTTTTCTGTCTTACACACAAAGCAGTGCAGCAGGAAGCTGTGCAAGGTCCATGTCGAGTTCATGGTCCTCTTCTATCACTCTCCTGTCACTGAGAAGTCTTTCCTTCCTTGTGAGTGAACTGCTGGTTCAGTGCTGAGGGCAGAAACTGCTAGAAATCCAATTCCCCAGAAGGAAGGTTAATGTGTATGCAGGATGCTGAGAGGGAGAGTGTGTGGTTGTCTTTCTCACTCAGGATGAACATATTATTCATTCTACCAACATCTATGAAACTGGTAATATGGCCAAGTAACATGCTCAGACCAGTAGGCACAAAGACAAATAGAACATCAGCCAGTAGTTCCTGTCCTCAGTAAGCTTATTCAGATTTGAGTGCAAGAAACACCAGCAGGGCCAGGTACAGTGGCACACACCTGTAACCCCAACACTTTGGGACATCAAGGCAGAAGGATTGCTTGAGTCCAAGAGTTCGAGACCAGCCTGGGCAATGCGGTAAAACCCCATCCCTACTAAAAACACAAAAATTAGCTGGGTGTGGCGGCAGACACCTGTAGTCCCAGTTAGTCTGGAGACTGAGGCGGGAGGATCGCCAGAGCCTGGGAGGCAGAGGCTGCAGTGAGCCGAGATCATGCCACTGCACTCCAGCCTGGGCGACAGAGCAAAAAAAGAAAAGAAACACCAGCAGGTAGGCCAGTACACTGTCAAACAGCTGCCATGTCAGACCTGGTACACAGGAAACAAGAGGCCCAAAGGCCAAACTAACTTGGAGAGAGTCAGAAAAAGGTCCACAGGAGAGGAGGCCCTTGAAAGACATCTGAGAAGATGAGGGCTGTATGCTACGCAGAAAGGGTGGACTGGGCGGAAGTGGGTGCAGAGGCAGGAAGAGGAAGGGAGCTTTCCAGGTAAGAGAAGCATGTGTGGGAATGCAGAGGCGGAAAGCAATCACAAAGACAAACACCCTCTCCTAAAAATAAAAAGCACAGCCATCTTTCTCTGGCTTGGAGGAATGTGTATTAGTATTGTTTATGGTAAACAACAGCAACACAAGTCTAATAGGCCTTCCCTTTCACATGTTAAAGCAGTCACGTAAACTCGGTGGACAAGGCAATGGTCTGCTCACACTTCTGGCCCCGTGACTGTCAGTCCTGGCCCGTGACTATGTTAGACCTCCACATTAGAATGGAAGGAAACAAGTGGCTGCAATCTAAAGAAATTTCAAACGGGTGAAAAGAAATCATTCACGTGTGTGAGAATACACAATACAAAAGAAAAGCCACAGAAATGCTTTTCAGAGTTTGGAAACGTGATTCAATTAAGGTACCTATTGTTCTAATGTTATGCTTCCTCATAAAACACAGTATTCTTTGAAATTCCTTACATATGAAAATAAGAATTTCCTTAAAAAGTAAACAAGGTGTAATCCTGAAAACATTTACCCTGAAGGATATAAGGAAACTCATGTTGTGTGTAGTGTGAGCCTGACTCCATGCAGGAGGATTTTATACTTGTATAACTCACTGAATTTACACGATGACCCAGGAAGTTTAAGGCACTGTGCAAAGAAGTCTCTTGTGTTTGAGGTATTCGAGGTGTGGAGGTAAGCACTTACTACTTAGCCCTCCTAACAGCTCTCTGAGATAGCTATTAACATCACTGCTTGACACAAAACATTATCAGGCTCTGAAGGCCAAATGTTTGCCCAAGGCCTTGGGATTCAAGTTCCAGTCAGGCCCTATATACTCCCTCTTTGAAAAAATTTTAGCAAAGCGAAAAGATCTTCCTATTTTTACAAGGCATAAGAGTTAAGGCAGCTTCTTTGTGCTAACTTGTCTTGCCAATTTGCCTAGTATCGTTAAAAATGCAGGAATAATAGGAATTTAATGAATCAAACTTATAAAAGACAAACATTGTACATATTTAGATTTATTGCTAGCTCTAAAAATGTTATCAAGAATTAAAAGCTTTGAATATACATTATTAATGAGAATGTGTACTTTTACAACTTCAATTAATCTATACTGTAGCTTGGTAAAATAGGTAATTACTATTTCCTTCTTATTTGGACCAAATAACTATAATGTATTGAAGCACTCTTAAATAATGGCTAATAAAAATTTCCCCTTAAACACACAAGGTGTCATAAAAAAGAATGAGATCCTTCATTTGCAAAAACATGGCTAAAACTGGTGGCTATTATGCTAAGTGAAATAAGCCAAGCAGCATGTTCTCACTTATTCCTGAGTTCTAAAGATCAAAACAATTGAACTCATGGAAACAGAGTAGACGAATGGTTACCAGAGGCTGGGAAGGGTGGTGGGGGTGGGGATAGTTAATGAGTGCAAAAAAAAAAAAAAAAAAAAAAAAACCAAAGAAAACCAGAGTATTTGACAGCATAACACGGTGACTATAGTCAATAATAACTTAACTGTACATTTTAAAACAACTAAAAGAGTAAAAATGGATTGTTTGTGACACAACCGATAAATGCTTAAGGGGATGGATACCCCATTTTATATGATGTAATTATTATGCATTGCATATCTGTATCAAAACATCTCATGTAGCCCATAAATACATACACCTACTATGTAATCACAAAAATTAAGATAAAAATTAAAACAAAAAAATATACAAGGTGTGACTATAAAGTAATGAATTGGTACCATATGCCATTCAAAAATTTCCTGCCCTGCTTTAAATGCCATTTGAAATTTCAAAATAGACACAATGTTGTGATTGAAATGAAAGCAGAACAGTAATTCTGGACTATGACAGTTTAAAGAGGTAACAATCTTTCCTATTAGTTGACACCCACACCTTGCACATCAGCTCATCACTCTCTTCCCATTTTCCCATTTTTTCTTCCTCAGTCCTCCCATTCCAGTCTCATCTCACCTTATCTAACTTGACATGTATCAAACCTTTATAGGGAAAACTTATAATGAATACCTCAACTCCTTAAACTGGTAATTACACATATAACACAAATCAGAAAAGCAAAATATGGCAAAGTACCAAAACATAATGAAAATATTTCAAGAAGAAATGACACTAGAATATGAGACTTTTAGCTGTTTTCCATTCTGTGATTGACAAGCATTTCCCAGGGATGGAAGATAAAATGCTACACAAAGCCTTCCATGAAAACCTTTCCAGGGCTTATTCTCAGATTTGTACCTTTATCCCGCCCTCAATCATTTTATTGAACAACTCTTATGTGGCAGAGACTGTGACAGATGAATAAAATATATGTTCCCTTCTTTAGCAAGGTAAAAGTCTTGTAAAGAAGCTCATTGTCCAAACAAGAGGATCAAATTTTGACCAAAATCCACAGTTAGAAACATACTTTACAATGCAATTCACTATGCACAGGTTCGTAAACACACTAAAAAAAAAAAAAGAAAAGCTTCATGAAAGTAATACTTCCCTTCTACAAAATACAGGCTATTTTCTATTTTCCTCATAAAAAGAAACAATGCTGCTGCTCTCACTAAATTTGTGATCCACTAAAAAGTGGCAACTCAGCCTGAAAATCAGGTCCCAGATAGGCAGCCAGGTTGAAATTCAGTTCCCTCCTAGGCAGCTTCCAAGGCAGGGAAGACAGTTCAGTTCAAACTGACTACAGAAAGCTT